CAGCAGATGAGGGGAAGTTGCAGCACGAGCTAGGGAGTCCTGAACAACAAGGATTAAATCGCAATGGATGGCAACAACCCTGAAAATTTGTTTTCCTGCCTCATCTTCTTTTCAGTCTTTCCTATGTAAGTAACTTTTGCTCTTCTGGAGGCCATCTGCAAGGTCTTGTGACTAAGCAAGAAGATCTAACTTCGTTTTCACGTCTTGTCAGTACTCGTGGGGTACTCCAGAGCAAGCATTTGTACAGTTGGATAGATGGTACTTTAGCTTCTAAAAATAAATTAAAGCTGTAGCGTATTTGATACAAAGGCTCTAAGAATTCAGGTAAGTTGATTCTGTTAATGAAAGGAAAAATGGTGAAAACTTCGCATTCCTACATTGCTGTGCTGTCACCTTGCTTCTGGTGCTGCATGCGCACCCTGGACAAGCTGAGCTGAAGTCTTGCCAAAGAATTCCTGTTTTTGGTGAACTGGGAGCTGCAGACTGGGAATTCTGCAGCTGCTACAAGTAGATGCCAAGCTGGAGGTCTGGCAGAACAAAGCATGAGCTCAGCACTGTCCCTACGTTTAAATTCACCACAGATCTTACTTTCAGTGGACAACCTCATTGAAGAGATAGAATGGAGCTGGAGGTTTCTGGCAAAGCATGTGGAAACAGATGGCAGTTCTGACACCTGGGTAAGTGTCGACAGCATCAGAGAAATGTAAGAAAAAGGAAATGCAGCTACATTCTGGAGTTCTGGTAAACCGATCAATAATTTACATTTTAGACTTAACATTTCTGTGAGATGAATGTTGTCACCTTGCTCTTCTTGGAAGCACTGTTAATCTAAATGAGGAACAGAGTTGGACTGGCTGTGTTTTACAGGTTTGCCTTGTGTTGAACTATCTTCTGATGCTTAATCGTAGAACCACTTTGGTTGGAAAAGACCTTTAAGATCATCGAGTCCAATGGAAGCTTGAAGGGGTACTCTGATTTAAAGTAGACTTCTGTTGGTTCTCCTTTTTATTTTTGTATTTTTACAGTGAACAATTTGTAAGAACTATATGAACTAAGTGATAGCTAGAAAAGACGTGTCTCAAGTGTTTGTTTTGTGCATTTAGCAGTATTTTGTTTTGCGATACTGCAGTGAGTTTTCACTTCTTGTATCTTTCAATCATGCTACAGAATGCAAGTATCTTAGCAAATAAGACAGTTTAACAGTAAATCTGTAAAATCTGGCAGAGGAGCTGGCTCTGTGCCCATCCAGGGAAGATGAAGGTTCTGAAACTAGTTTTAACTTCTTATTGATTAAATTCCAAGCTGACTGGGGCTCCTTTGAAATTGTGATACTTGGTTCTGTGGCAAGGGCCAAGTCTTTGTGGCTGGGTAATATGAGAAACTCTGCTTCTGGTAGCTTGAAATTTTGGTTTTGACAGAAATGCACTTCTATTATGATTAATTTTATATCATCCAATATTTTCTGGCTGCATTTATCTGACCCTTCCCTTTCTAACCCCTGTTTACTTGTTTTAGGTTTGTCTCTTAAGCTGTATCTGGAGTAACTCTTCTACCTGTTATACTTCCTAGGTCCAGGCACTGATTTTTTTTCCTCTGTATTCTTAGTCTTAGGTATTGGTTGATATTTCAAGTAATAGGATTTCTTGGCTGTGCAGGCTTGCAGTTGGAGAGCTTAATGCAGGTAATATTTCAGCATGTATCTTCAGCCTGCCCCAATTTTGCACAATGCAAAAGTGTAAATGCTCTAAAAACTGAAGAAAGGGGCATTTCCCTGGTTAGACAGCCACCTGAGTTACTGTGTAGCTTGTAGAAGCATTGTAAGAAGCCTGTACGTTTTAGGGAAAGCTGCCATTACCATGAATTAGCTGTGAACATCTGCAAACTCTGAGTAATTTAGGGTCAGAGAGGAACAAATGGGGCTTAATACCGCCACCAAGTCATATCCTTGAGAGGTGTGTGTGGCTGTGCCCTTTAGTGGGATTACTCAAGTAGGTAAAGCTACCTGCACATCTGACTGCATGCAAGATAAACACACCTGGAACAGTGGCCTGAAGCAGCATTTGGGTGGGCTGTGTAACAGAATCTGTGCAATGTGTCCCCCGTTTTAGAGAGGCCAGATTTCCTTACCTATGTGGGGACTGGAGTTTGGATACAGCTAACCATGATGGGAAGTCAGGGTTCCTGCAGAATGAGCGTAACTCCTCCAGAGCTTTCATAGTTTCTGTTTCACCTTGTTCTCGATACTCCTCTTCAGTAAGGCACTTGAACACTAACTTTTTTGATTTAAAGTGGTTCTTCATTTTTCTAGAATGAAATGAAAACAGCATTTCTAAAGCCTTCTGGCACATAATTATTGTCATCCTTTTTCTCTACTACCTGCTATTAACATGCATTAATCACTTTTATCCTTTTAAGAGGACAAGCTACATTCTTGCATTACAATTTCAGGACAAGGTGTCCAATGTTTGCTAGCCTGTTTACCCTAGGTGTTAACCAAAGTTGTGGAATTCCACACAATGATATCTAATGAGCTTCAAATGAGCCTTGGATCACATCCTTGTTGTGTATGCATGGACTAAAATCTCATAGAATTAAATAGATGGCTGTTTGCTCAGCCATTTTTAGGTGTGATATGCAAAATGTGTCTGTGCAGAGACACAGGCTGAATCAAAACCTAGTCTGCATATGTAACTTCAAAGATAAGCAATGCTCTAAGTCTGTTATGAGTTGTTCATGTTGTTTACTAGATCGCTTCTCTTAAATCTTGCTTTAAATTACAAAACTGAGTAGTCTGAGGCCAAAATGTTTACAATCTGATGTTTTTTTAGCTGCTGCGTAGCAGTGTATAATATAATTAGCTATCAATTAGAAAGTGTGCCATGTTCTGTTCCCTTCTGTCAGCTGCTTTCAATTTAAATGTTGTGATGAGTTAAGATAAGCAAGGGCTGGATGCCCATAAAACTTTCAGCTCTGTATAAAAACACCTGCTCCAAGCAGCAGCATTCACTTTCCTCCTTATTTCCCTGTAAAGCAAGAATAAATGGTAGCCCTTATTCGGGTCAAATGGTAAACGGCTTACTGGCCCAGTGGGATCAGTACTGATCTTAACAACAAATAATGCAAGATTCTTAGTTATTTTGATATATCTGCTGCTCTGAACTGCGTATCTGGCATCATGGCCTCACAGTTTGGTGCTACTGCTTAGTGTTTTGAAACAGGGAAAAAACCCCACCTTATTATTCTCCTAAGAGGAATTTGTAGAGCTGTATTTCAGTGCTTTTTGTCTTTATAGAAGCATCAGTTTGTGAAAAACAAAGAGAGGTCCATGAGGAGAACAAACTACAGTGTTTCAGGGTAAAACAGGTATGTTCTGACTTCTGTGAACTCGTAGCTAAATCTTACTGATTTCAGAGTGAGCTGAACCTGCTTACATCAGGTAAGTATTGATCCTATATGTTGCTTTTGAAACAGTCAGTGCTTCTCGCTACAGGCAAAAATCAGTCTTCAACAAATGATAAATTCTACCTAAAATAAAAAAGCTTCAACCCAGTCCACACTTCCACATCTAAAAAGAGCAAAAGAGCAAAGCATTATGTTCTTCAAAACTAAAAAACATGTAAAAGACTAGAAAATAAATTATTTGGGTTTTACTCTTTTGGTAAAGTCAGTTCTAGCTTTTGCGTCCTTCCTGGTTCTCTGCAGGTCAGCAGAAGTCCACAGCCATGGAACAGTCTGCACTAGTCTCTTAATCTGGATGCCATCACCAAAGGTAAAAAACCAGACGTAAATCGGCAGGACTTTTTAGAATCTTCAAGTGATATATTTGTGATAAAACATGCTTTGAATTCAAGGATGAGCAAACACGTTGTTCCCATATTGATAATGAAAATATTTAGCAAACTAAGGTCTACATATTGCAAGCAGTTCCCATTCCAAATGCCACTGTAGAAATGCGGCTCTGGGAATGTGGGGGAATGTCTCCACAGTGACAACAGGTTGTTTCCAGGAGTTAAAGGTAGACATGTACATCCAGGGTAATAACCTTGGAAAACTAAAACCAATGGAAGCCATTATTTCTGTGGACACGGGTTTTTAGTTTCTGAACTCTACACTAACCTACAAGGACTGTCACTTTTTATCATCATCTTCCTAGGTGACAGTACACTGGTTTATCCTGTAAAATTCAGTACAAGTTACCTGCAGATTCCCTCACTACACATGAAGCCAAGGCAGTATTGCTGCAGTCTAATCAATCAACCAAACAGAAATGTTTTGGTTGCCATATGCTGCAGACTAGAAGGTGCTACATTTGTACTTAAGAGCACAGTCACATTTCTCTGATCTCCATGAACAAAATTCATGCTTAAAACTGCCAAATGGAAAATAATTAAATTCTTGTGTGTCAGGGATTTACACCTTTTCTATTGCAGCTTTACATGTGGTAAAAATATGAACTAGTACTAGAAATTCATAAATCATGATTGAAGAGTAAGGGTTTTTTTCATTATCAGCCTCCACTATTTCCTGGTGATACAGGGACTGGGACATTCACAAATGCATACAAACCTGCCTACGTGACAGGCAGCGCCAAGGGGGTAACACAGGCCTTTGGAACAGAGGCTGAGTGCTATTACCGCATACGCAACTTCAGGTATGGTGACACCACAATAAACCAAGACAAAGGCTGTTAACTGTAGCGTCCACGTGAACAAGGTTATGCTCAGTTCAGTTGTAAGCGGTCCATGCTGATAGCAAATGGCAAAGCTGGTAATTCCAACAGCCAGAAAATACCCTGTAGAAACAGAAATGAAGGACATGGAGAAAAAGATGCAAACTATCCATATAAGCATAATTACTTTGGTTCACAAAGCTTGCAACTACTGTGGAGCATAGCCTGCTGTTTCTTGTGTTGTCTTACAGATCCCTGCATTATGCTGTATGTGCTTTATATTTCACAAGTGTGCAAAGGCTTCACGAGGTGATCTATGAATAGCCTTTAGGTAATGGTATGAGCTGCATGTGAATTCTCTCCATGCAAGAATGTTGAGGCAGGTGCCAGATCAATAGGTTTGTCAGCCCCTGCGGCCACATCCAGTTAGCGACTTATGCATCCAGTTCCCAGATCCAGCAAAATACAGACCAGCATAGCTGCCCGTTTGCTGTTACAGGGAAAATATGTAATAGTAAAACAATGAACAAATAATATAGGCAAAATGTGCTCTTAAAGCTGCTACTGGCTCACTATGTCAGACTCCTTATTTAATGATACAATGTGAATAAATGCTCATTTAAATGGATTAGGAACCTTTGGAATATTCCAACGTCTGTGGCTTAGGAGAAAAAAGTACTCCATAAATGAGTCACTTGATTTTGCTTTTTATGGGCAGGTATTCATCTAACCGCTAAATTAAACCAAAATCGGCAGCACAGTTTTTAGTAATTTTCTTACCCAACAAGTAGTTTCTGTGTTCGGACCACAACCACTGCATATTCTCTTTGAAGCAGTAAATAAAATAGAGAGAGGACATCCAGCAGCCACTCATTAAGATCCAGAAGGTACTGTGCTGGAAATTAAACAAAACAAAACAAAAACAAACTTAAAAAATAAAAAAAATTCAAGTCAGAATCAGGACTACTGTGTGCAGGGCAACTGACAGGCTAAACCAGATGTGATATTCGGTAGGCCTACAGGGCTTATGGATCTGAGTGATGCACCTCTGTATTTGTGTATCACACCCCAGTGTCATGCTCTAAGCCTACTGCAGTGTATTTCCAATTAACATATCTCAGCAACATTGTGGGAATGCACGTACGTTGTAAAAGTAAAGGAAAAATTCACATCTGCTTTGCAATTAATTGTTTCTGGTGAATGGAAGAGAATCTGTTCCAGTTGCCACTAAAACTACATTTTGATTTGGATTGATTCATAGATTCAAAAGTGAGCTTAGTTCCAGTCCGATAAAAATAATTTGTGTTTCAGAATAAACTCTTCCTGTACATCAACAATCTCCTGTTTACTTTAAACTCACAGGAGCAAGCTAACTAGATCTTGATTCTGACCTGTTTATATTTACTTGATGCAAGCAATCCTGCAGTCATTTCAGTGAAGTTACCTGGCCACAAAAACAGAGCAAGATCAGAATCTGTCTCTGTACTCTTCACTTCCTATATTACGATGTTGATTATTATTATTGTTTTGTTTTACAAATGTAGATTTACCCTTGGAATAAACCTTTTAAGTGACAACAGGACAAAGACTAGCAGAGCAAGAACACCCAGTATTGTTCCAGAAAGGTAAAAGAACTTGGTACTCCTGTAAGAAAACAAGAGAGAAGATAGTGAGAAATGTAATTAGTAATTGGTTAAGATGCCAACATTTGTACAAACAACAGTGATCTTCAATAAGAACTTAACACAACTGTAAGTTGTAGTTACATGGTTAAACAGGCCCAGTTTAGATATTAAATCTGTGTGACGAAAAATTCCCAACAGTACTTAAGGTCCCTGGAGTTGCTACAGGCTAGGAGGTTGTGTTGGGTTTTTTAAAGCTCACACTAGTTCCGATTTCATTGACCTTCTAGTTTCTAGTAATTTTATTTTCTTCAGTGTACTGATATGGTTCTGTACTGCAAGAAAAGTTTTATTTTTTTAATTAAAAATGTAAAAAGCCCTCCACAAACTCACAAGGTTTTTTCCTAAGCTTATGCATGCATGAAGTCTGACTTCTTAATTCAGGGCTAACTCTATAAAACCCGTCGCTGCTCTGCTTGTTTTAGAGGTGCCTCCTGACAATTAATTTGACTAATTTTGCTTTGAAGTCATAGGACACACATTTTGCTGTAACAGTGAGTATCCTCCCTTACACGTTATGCAAAATGTGCACCAAAAGAACGATGGGGAAAGGTTGACACAAAGGTGGAGGCAGACAAGGCCCCAGATGACCTCATCCTAAGCATTTCTTGCTGCAGGAAGGCATCATTTATAATACGTGCAGCATTATTTAGCGTTCAGCTAACCTCACTGGTCTATAAAAGGGAGAGAGCATTTTTCTGAATCCACACGCTTGCTCGCTGAGGATTGTCTTGGTGTCGCCCAGTGCAGGCAGCTTGGATGAAAGCACCCTACCACAGCTAAGCGATTATCATAGAGTGCAGCACTCCCAAGATATGTCAAAATTTGTCCAAACACAAATGGTATGAAGAAATTTTAAATACGTGTTCAGTTTCCTTATTTTACTTTCCCAAAGAACCATCTCTTCAGCTTAGAAAACAGACTAAAGATGTACAGGCTTTGGGAAAGAAGGTAAAAAACAGCAGCTAGTACTCACCTGCTCAGACTGTTCGCAAAATGGAACAGAAAAATTCCAGCTACAAACAAAACCAAGAGTTTTCCATCTAGCACTAAAAAAAGGGGGAAAAAAATAGAAATGGACTTTAGACTAATTCAATCTGAAATGCTGGTGATACAGTATATCAGCAGAAAAGTCCCAAGCTTCTTATAGAAGAGATGGTACATTCAGAAACACTGGCAATGCCCATCTATCTGTAATCTAAACTGAAAGCTTTTTTCACTTACTTTCTCGTTTCACACTCACGGTGTATGGTTCGGTTTTGAAGGGCTGTATTTTGAAACAAATATCCTCTCCATATTGTTTTGTGCTTATGAAAGTTTCTGTAGATGTCTCTGGTTTCCAGAAGATTTGAACAGCACATGCAGCAAACTCAAAAAAAGTTTCTGAATTACGACAGTTGGTTCTTTCTGAAAGAGGTTCAAACCTGAACATTTCTCTGCTGTTAACTTTTACCTAAAAACAAACAACAGAATACACAGAGAAGTAGCTCAGAATCACTGGGTTTTTTTTGTTTTCTGAACTACGTAGCATGTAAGATATACATGATAATGACAATCAGTATAGAGAGCTCCAGAATAAAATGCCAGTGCAATTCTTAATTGTTTTAAATTGGCTATTAATGTTATGCAAAGATTTAATTGTTTAGGCCTTACAAGATGATTCAGAGAACTCAATGTCAGCAAAGTTCTATGGAGGGGCCTCTCAGTCCATCCAAGAGCTCAGTGGGTTTGGTTTTACCATGACACTTGCCCACACAAATTTCTAACAAAACCACTAATACTTGGCTGACCACAGTTTCTTTTTGTGGATCCCCTCCTGAACTGTAAGAAATTGGACTTGTTTTTCTTGTAGTTAGTAATACAATCTTCATGTTAGGGACAGGAGAGGGGTAAGGAAAATGAAAAGATAACATATCATAATCATGTTCCTGTTGGGTATTTTGGGGTTTCTTGTTAGTTCCTAGCACCCCCACCTCCCCCATCCGACCCCCCGAACTGGTAAAAGATCTTGTTGACCTTCTAAGATGGGATGACCTTCCCGAAGATTGTGATTCATTGTGAGCTCTTGATTGGGGCCTATTAGACAACAAAGACCCATCTACAAAAAAAGTGATGCAATAGGTAATAAAACAGGCTTCTACTGGGAGAAGAGACAACACGTCAGCAAGCAATTTGTTGTGGGAAAAATCCAAACTTCCTGGTTTTCAACATTTACTCCAGGAAAGCTTGTGTGACTGCTGGAGGGTTTCACCACCTGAGATCTGCTACCATTCGTAGAAACATCTGCAGCATGTTCCTGAGGAAAGTAGTCCCAGGAACAGACAAAGAGATGTTCCATTTCCTTGTATCTGAGAGCAAATTCCTCCACCAGAGATGAAGTGAAACGGTTTCCTTCCCTTGTCCAGAGATGTACTTCCCGGGAAAAAAAAGGAACCACACAGATAGTCAGCTTGTTCCTTTACCTATTGCTGCTTCCACTGTTAAAAGGTTTTTATATTGTTTCGAGCCAACCTCTAAACAGGTTTCTTGTAAGATGACACTCTATTACTCAGAAAACCAGAAATACACTACTACTGCTGGTTTTTTCATTAGTCACAGTCTAATACACCTGTGGTTCCTACACTGCTATGTATGCTATGGTGAGTGAGTCACAGAACTGCTTTTTATCCTCCAGTCTAGAAGTTTTATGAAGGCGTTTGTTGATAAGCAAAAACATTTGTGGCAGAGGTTAGCAGTGGTCCATCAGTAGAAAAGATGTGCAACAAAATAATGCGCAGCGCTAAGTTAATGTTTGTGTGGCATCATACTGTAAGCCTGGTTGACATTCTTGTAACAAAGGGAGACCAAATCTCGCTACATCTGAAGTGGAGGATCACAATGTTGCATTTTTGTCATGGTCCTACCTATACACCATTCAAACTGCTAATTACACAGAGATCCTGCTTTCATCTCGCTAACTGATCGATACGCTTTGCTGGCAAAAGTTCACGTGAAATGTACGGCGTATCTGAATGATCCCCAAAATGGCCTCTTACCTGAATAGTCGACCAAATGTATTGTAAGTGAACGGTTCTGTTTTGCACATAGCAGTAACAGTTTTCATCTTGTTTCTGGATAACCTCCATTTCCTGCAAAAAGCTACAGTTTCTACCTGGGAGGGAGGAGGGGGGCAGAGAAGTTAATTTTAAGCACGTATCAAATACAAATTATAATTTTGCTCCATTTCGTTGTTGTATATGCTGAGGGAATCACAAGCAATTAGCAGATGATCAAACGTAAAAACTATGCTGCAGGGTAGCACGTTCAATATGATTCAGATGAAGATTCCAATTAGACTTCTAATCAAGTCACTTAGGCTCCAGAGTAAACTGCAACACCTTTGGAAAAAAAATAATTAATCTTAGGGTGGTATTTTTAAAAAATGGAATCCATAGGAGCTTGGCTTTGGTATCAAGTGTTTTGATGGCACTGGAATGGGGCCTGTGGGCCAAATTCACTGCTGGCACAAGTGGGTGTTAACTCCACCGGAGTCGATGCTTATACTGGTGGTGAATGCAACTGTGGGAGTCTGAGCAGGTAAACAGGCTTAGATACTAAACCAGTCATTTAGCACATGACATGGCTGCTGATGGCAGAAATCGTACTCCTCTCCCTCGGAAATGTTTCTAACGTTAAATCACGCAACTCTTCTCTCTAAAACAAGTTTTCCTGACATAGTCCAGCCATGACATGTAACAAGGCAACTGCACTGATAGCTTGCCATAAGTCATTTAATTAGGGATGCTAATTAGTCAACTCTTCTGAAATGTTACTGACCCCCTACAATCTTCAGAATTCCATTTCAGTTTTGAGCAGAAATGCACCTGAATGATATATGGAGCGAACTTTGAAGAATAACATACATTCCAATCTATACACATGTGTAAAATATACCCTACAGTGCATTACCGCAATGTTCCAGGAACATAATTAAGAATAAAGGAAATAATTACAGATCCGAACAGAGGGAATCATCTGGCTCACTGAATAGAAAATGTAGGTCTAAGCTAAGCTCAGTAATAACTGCTAAAACACTGTCATACACTCAGAACAGCAAAATGAGTATGTGCAAAAGAGTCTCAATCTAGACAAGGAGATACTGTTTGCAGGTAAAAACCTGCCCTGTCTCTATAAGGAAGCTGATCTTAGGCTAAATTATTTTTTAACCAATTTAATTAAGCCAATGAAAAATACCCATGTGGATGTTCTTACGTAAGTTTATTAAGTCATTCCAGAATTAAAGTGTCCACAGATGATCCTGCTAAAGTACATTGATTTAAACTTAAAATTTGGGCATTTTTATTGTGAAAAATTAACCACCTGATTATTTTTCATCCATGGCAAGTCCAGCAGGAGGGAGCACAACCCTTTGGACAAGGGCCGGCTGCACCTCTTGACAGGCACTTCCATGAAGGTCATCCCAGGAAGCTGCAAAAGGATTCATTTGCCTCTGAAAAGTGCTGCCGAGGGACGCAGCAAGCAGGTGAGGCTGGGCACTACCCAGGGCTAAGGCCGAGACAGCCCCATGCTAGGAAATGGCGATACCCAAGTAGGACCAAAACGCGGCCGAGCATGCCCACACCTTCCCTGCAGGGTGTGTCAGGATTTTTTGCCACTGCGGATAAACTATCCATCCACATTAGAAGTAATGCCCTATGGAGGGCATACAACGCTAGAAAGTATTTTCTTACCCCCTTAATTGTAAAGCATTTTCTTGAGAAAAATAAGCTCCATAGACTGAAACAATCACGTTCCAAAAGGAATGATGCTCCTGAACAGGTAATCGTGAGATGGAGGAGGATTGTAGCTACTGTGAGGACACCCAGAGAGGGCAACTCTCAAGTTTTGAGATTGCAAGCAGTGGAGAGAATCGGCATCTGCTGCAGCATCCAGAGGATGCCCAAGACTGAGAAACATAAAGGCAAGGAGGGAAGCACTTTTTTGAGTTATGTATCACCACTGCAACTGAGAAGAACCTTTGGGGTTTTCACTGCCCTCGTTAATAAAAGGTCTGTTCAGCACCTATTCTCCTGAACCAAGTTATGAGGAGGCCAGCAGGATTCCTCCTGGAGCAGATGCTCCAGGTCAGTTTCCCATGCCAGCGCTCCTCAGCCTTCCCACCTCTGCCGCTGAACCGGGTGCGGGAGGCGCTCGCCCTCTGTGCGCCCGGTGCCGCTTTGTCCGTGGAGCTCCCCCAGGCCAGGCCCCCCCCGTTTCTTCTGGGAACCGCGCTGAGGCGGGACAAGCAGGGGAAACCAGCAAAGCGCCTTGGGGGCGCCTCCGGCCCTCAACCGACTTAAGCTCTCGGCCGAAGCGGGCAAGGGACGGAGCCGGGCGGGGAGGGGGCGGCCCCGGCCTTTCCGTAGGGCAGCGCCATTTTGGGCAGAAGGACAAGGCAGCAGGTCGCGCTGTACCGGGGACGAGGGAGACCGGGGGGAGGGCAGCGTGTCCCCCCGCGCCCTGTTCGGATGGGGGACGGGTGTGTGTGTGTGTGAGGGAACCACACACATACCCACACCCGGCCTGTGGGCGCCCGG